GGGAAGAGCGATTAACAATATCAGAATCTGAACGTGGACAACAAGGAGAGCAGAAAGACAGCTCCACTGTAGAAATCTGGTACCGGTACGAGGAACCTAGGAACAATGTCCCCGTAAGAGGAAGACCAAATTGGTTTAAAAGGGAGGTCAAGAACAAGGAACTCCATGTCTAGAAGGCTGTCAGCAAGATAGTGGTCTGTTTTAAAGGCAAAACTTTCCAGGGAAGAACCCAGAGATATTGCCAGGACAGTGAAGAATATTCACCTAAGTAAACCCAAAACAGGGAAATTAGTCAGAAAAGTCTCCTTCAATAGTCTGCAAAAGAGGCAGGAAAGAAGGGCCATAACCAAGGTGGAAGGATCACATGGAGTCAATAAGGCACTCCCTGGTACCGAGAGAGAATACCTGCAGCACAAAACTAGCTTGTTTAGTGTGCAGACAGCTCACTGTGCCACAGGCCTTCCTCATAAATTCTCCACTTATGGAGCAGATCTTAGCTTATGGACATTGAGGAGAAGTCCACATGCCAACAGTTGGGAAAAACTGGTTTCCAGAAGATCAAACTTAGAGGAAGCAGCGTGGACAAGACTAAAACCCACAGTTTTATCTACAACAAGAACCTAACTACATTTCTCCCAATCCTTACTGGTGAAGACACAATAGCACTTAGATGTTGTCCAGAGGCAACCGCATCAGGAGACCTGACCAGGGAGGGATCCCTCAATGTAGGAGGAACCACTTGCTCTGGAAATCTAGCAATGTAGCCCAGGAGGTGGGAATCCTCCTAGCACTGAAACCTTCCAAAGATGGGGAGAGAAGTCCTTTTCAGCTTTCTGATAGGAAAGACTGAGTGAACAGAGCAGAAACTAGCTGATTCTCTGAACCAGACAAGTTAGACTGTTCAGGAACCGAGGTAGATGGAGAGGATATGGGGAAAAACGGCAGAGGAAGAGCCCCTTGACACCTGAACCTCTGGCAAAGGTTAAGAGACTGGTAGGTCCCTGACCAACTGCAGAAGGGCATTAGTACCCTGGACTCTTCCACAAAATAACCATACTGGTTAATATCATCCTCGGTTGGACAGCTTCAAACACCGATTTGTGAGAAACCAGATCCAGACGAATCTTGCAGTCATTTAGACCATTGGGCAGGTGTCTCCTAGAGCCTGGGGTGACTGTTTTCTTCACAGGTCATCTGAATGTCCCACAATGGGGATGCCATAAGAAGGCACTAAGACAGAGACTAGAACAAACACCCTGAGCAATACTAGGTGTGCAGGGGCAACACTGCCATGTCAGAGCCCTAGGTCAGGCAGCAGCAGGTGCTGGTCCCAGCTGACCAAACAGGCCAGAGAACCCCTCTGGAGGATGACAAAAATGGGGACTGTGATGAAGCCCAGGCACCACTGATGGCCTTACATGTCCAAATGGAAACAAAGGATCGCTCTCAGTAAAAAAAAAAAAAAATGGCGAGGATGGGACACAGGTCCAGGGGCCGAACAGGTGCAGGAGCTATAACAAAAACCTCTGGGTTCAGGACACCCTCAGGAGACAAAGGTATGTTTGGTAACCTGTACTATCTGCACCTGGATGCCTGAACAGCAAACTACCCAAGAGCATACTATTATACTACTGAAAGGACTAACAAACTTCCCCCACTTAAAGTGGGGACTCACCTTCATACAGAAGAATTATTTGAGGGTTTAGCAGGTTTCTTGCTTTTAGCCTCACTGGCGGCCATAGAACCAAACTTACAGGGCCTGGTGAAATCTACCTCAGAAGTAGGTGAAGAAGAGGGATGAGATTCAGTTGACCTTTCTTTAGGCCTCCAACGCCAAGGCAGGTGAACGTTCTGACCTATATGATAATGCCAAGAGTAGGTCCAAAGAGATGTCCCTCAAAGACCATGAGTCAGGTGACCTTGGATACAGCGTCTGCCTCCCAGCACTTTTACCAACGTGCATCGACAACTGACCTATACGAGAAACAGGCTTAGATGCTTCCAGCCAGCCATCACAGGTGAAGGGTAGAGCTTCAGATATCTGTTCTAAAATCCCTGTCAGGAAGGGGTACACTGTCACCGTGAAGAGATCTTGTTTCAGGGATTTGGCCCTTTTCCCAAAGTTTGACAATTAAGGTCACAGACAGAACAAGGTGAAGGGCAGAGCCCACCAGCCAGAACTGGGTGTTCAGGAGGGAATTAAACTATTGTTGGAGTAGTATCCTTAAGAGGTAAGAATGCCCTCTACTGGCCTAGTGGTCTCCCTGGTAAAGTAGGTCACTGGTAGATCCTAAGTGGGACGACTGTTTTACAAACTCCGTCTTAAAGGGAAAAAGCTCCAATTAATGCTCAGGTGGAGTCCAGGCCCCATTAGGGTGCTTCCAATCAAGAGTTATAGCTCACATGACAGGTGTAGTGGAAAGGTCTTTGCAGCAGAAGGCGCTCTGAAAGACCCAAGAATGGAGACAGCAGTACCACATCAATAAGGGCTAAAACTGTCTCTTGCACATCAGAATTAATGCCTGAACACTACAATTCCTCAAAAACAAACACATCAGAGAGATTGAGGGAACTCTGAATCCGAGTTAAGATGGTCACTGTGACCAAGGGCCCGCATCTTCTAAGGTCACAGTGAGATCAGACATCAACTCTGTACAGGAAGGTGCAGGAGTGATCATCAATAACAAGGAACTGAATGAATTTGGTCACAAAAAACTCTTATGCGTCTGCTGTAGAGGTTCTGACAATAAGGCAGGGGACTTGGCCTCAAACATCTATGCTAAATGGAACTCTGATAAGGTAGACCCTATAAACTACAGCCTAACAGGAATACAGATTGCAGACATCTTTGCCTTCAGAAGGCACAGAGTAAAATGCCCCCAGGGCAATTAGTAGAGTGTGAGCTGGAGTCAACTGTTGCAGTGGGACTGTAACATCTGTGTCTAGATCAGGGGTGACAATTTTAAGTCTTGAGCTACTAGCCAGACCTTAAGAGTTACTCCCCACCAGTTGCCCACCTAACCCCTACCCCGGCCTTAACACACCCACGCATAAATAATACACCCCCCCCTGTTCCCTGCCCCCCCAGTATAAATACACTCCCCCCCCCTGTTCCCTGCCCCCCATAATGTAAAGTAAAACAATAAAGCCCCCTCACCTGCTTGTCTTTCTGCAGGGAGGTCCGCGACCGGAAGCCTGACTTAGTTTCCACTCGCCTGCACTGCATTTTCATTCGCCAAATCCAAGCAGGCGAGTGGAAATGTTGAGCCCTGGTCTAGATACAGACAGGTTGCGTCTGTGTAGCAGTGATCATGTAAGCTCAGGGTAGGAGGCAAAGCAGCTAAGTAGCCGTTGAGAGTTTTAAGGCTACAGGTGACTGTTCCACGTGGCTCTTTGCAATGCAGGAGCAGCAGTGGGGCGATGCTTCCTCAATGCTGACTGGTGGTAAGGAGTGCAAAGTGCCGCAGCACTCAACCCAGGGGATGATGTCAGAACTCATCTTTGTGGTGAACAGAGGGAAAATGAGAAATTCAAAGAAGCCCAGTGGTGCAAATAACGAGTTAGTTTCTGGTGCTTAGCCGATCAGCTTACTCACAGAGTGCTTCTCCAGAGACAGGCCAAGTGCAGAGGCAATCCCAATTTCACAAAACTTGATATCAGAACAGGGTCTTGAAAGCACTTTATACAGAACCCAGTGCCTGAAAGTCACATCCAAGCTAGCCCTGCAACAGCCAGTCCAATGGGTTCCAGATACAGCAGCCCAAAGCTAAGCTGAGGAATTGCCAATTTGAATAGCTGCCATGTCAAGACCATCTCAAGCAGCGATATACCGTTTTTCCCCGAAAATAAGACACTGTCTTATATTTTTTGGCTCAAAAAAAAAAAAAACACACTAGGTCTTATTTTTGGGGCAGGTCTTATTTTTTTTTCTTTTAATGTACAACAATCCACACTTATTCATGTACAACAGTCTACATGTATTCATGTACAAAAATATGGTGATCAGGGCAATTAGGGGTGCAGTACCTTTCCAAAAGCAATTTAGTAACCAATCACCGATTCCTCACAGGCGGAGTGCATTTGGTATCACTCCGCCTGTGACAGGAGTCGGCGCTATAGAGGAGGCATCTGCTTCAAGTTCCCCCTTATGCCACCACCGGCCCTGGGAATGGTCACAACTAGGTCTTATTTTCGGGGTAGGTCTTATATTTTAGCAATTCCCAAAAATAGTACTAGGTCTTATTTTCGGGGAAACCGGGGTAGTGAGAATCAAAAGTGGTTGTAGTTTTCCTGAAAAAAAGTCCATCCGCTTAGGACACCAGCAAAGACCTGAGGCATGCTGGGAAGAGGAGTGGTTATACTGGGCCTGCCTAATGCCTGTTTGCAAATGTAGAATACCCAGGAAAGTTAATGGCTTCCAGTGTCCCTGAATGGACAGGAAAGAAAATTATTTTCCTGGAAATATTGCTGCTCTAGGCTCCTTTCAAGGCTAACTACATATACTGAGGCGTATGCACTTGGTCGTGTGAGCTCTGCTGAAGGAGGTCAGTCATTCTTTCCCTTCAACAGAGTTCATGTAACCAAGGGCCTAAGACTTCAGACATAAAGGCAGCACGGAAGGGAGACTAGAGCAGCACCTCCTCTAGGACAGGTTAGCATTTTCAACCCTTCTATTACTCTTCATTTATCTATGACATTAAGGAGTTTAGGTCTAATTTAACTCACAACCATCACACTGCACATCCTCTTAACTAATCTTCCCATAACCATTATCCAATTACCATAATTGAACTTAACTGCCAGTATGGAAGAACTGGCATGGACCAATAGAAATGTCAACATTTGCTGGCCGCCAGAACATGTCACAATGGCCATTTTTGAAAAAAGAAAAACAAACAAACCATGGGCCACCATGAGGATGAAGCAAAGAACCACAAAATGTGCAATTCACATAGACCAGACACAATGTAGGAGAGCAGAAAGCATTTACTAAGACTCACCCTGATATCTGCAAGTAGGGCATCTGGATCTTGAATACCATCAGGCAGGCACTTCTTGTTTGGGGGGAGAGATTCAAGCTTCTTAACAAGGCAGTGTAAGCCATCAACCTCAAACCATGTCAAACATGGTGGTATGTTGCTGGGAGGTGAGGGAGGAGTAGGTGGAGGTGGAGTGAGAGGCCGGTGTGCAGTAGGGAAGCTAGACAGGATTAGCCTATCCTCCCTGTTCTGTTCTTCACGGTCCCTCTGCCGCCGTTCCCTTTCTCTCCTCCTATGAAGTTCCCTCTCAGCTTTCCTTCTGTCTCTGTCTCTTTTCCTTAAGCCCTCCTCTTCCTCCCAGTCCTGATCTGATGAGTCGTCATAGTCGGAGGATGAAGAAGAGGGGGAAGATGAAGTAGAGGAAGATGAAGATGAAGAGGGTGTGTCCGGTCTCCGGCGTCCATTTAGCTCCAAGTCTAGTTAGAGGGGGAAAAAAAAGTCTGGAATTATCACAAATCTGATCTGCATACCAAAATAAATGTATCTACTGGCTTTTAGAAATACAGTGGCCAAGAAAGAGCATGCATTTGCAGAATCACACACAGGGACGTGGCAGTTATGGAACTAGCACCACTTCACACAGCTGAATAGCTGCATCCAGTACTGGTGGGGAGACTTGGATGTGTCAGGCATTGGCTGTTCTGACAGGTTCCCTTTATCTGCAATGAAGCGCTAAGATCTTTAATGAGGCAAATAAAAAATAAAAATAAAAAAAAAGACGAAGACGAATGCAGCTCTGTTAGCATTAATACAGCCAATTTTTAAAAAAAATGTCAGCACAAGTCCTGAATGTTATTTAACCCTGTGGGTTAAATAGGCGCAAAAAATCGGTTCTTGTAATAAGGAGCATACTGATGAGAGCCGAGAGTAGAGTGACAGGGAGATGAGCTGATCACTGTGCAGGGCCAGGATGACCTGGCCTCAGAGGCAGTGGGTTGAATGACACTGGTCATCATTCAACCCGGAATGCTGAGGATATTCAAAGGCAGACAAGCAGTACTGTTGATAAAACAAGAGTATAGCAGCAAAAGCAGCTTTTCCTATCTTTTAATGGGCGTTTTTACCCTGGAGTTTTGCCTTAGAGGAAGCCTGCTGTGATAGAAACACAGGGAATGCCATAGTTGAACTCTCCATCTTTAAATGCTAGTTGGCCCACTGTAATGCTGACTCCCTGGTTTCTATAGTTTTGCGTCACTGACCCGAATCAAGTACACAGATGAGGACTATTCTAATCTTTCTTCATCCACATCAGAGGTGCCTAGCATCCTTATCTTGGTTTTACTACCTAGTGAGCCACTGTCCTAAACCAAGCAGACTGCCTGCAAATTCAGAAAACGTATTTCTTTTTTAAATTATTTCGGTTTATTGGATTTTTCAGGTAATATAAAAAAAACACAATACAATAACAGAAAACGTAGAAAACGTTGTATTTCTTAATGTGCGTTCCAGGTTTGTGGGTCACCGAATAGCTAGGATCAGAATGATAACACAAATTTGCATCTTTAAAACTAATTCAGCAATGACAGCTGCCATATTTTTATTCTTACTGTTTACATGAATGAAAACGGACACATCAGCAAGGGCACATTACATTATTTTTTACATTCAAGAAGAAAAGTACTACCGTATCAGCTTCTTAATTTAAATAAAAAACTCTGTTGTGGAAAAAGTGGGGGTGCTGTTGAGTAAAAGTGCAGGAACTTAGACATACCTGCAGGAGCCTCAAAGCCATGCTGTCATGCCTGACCCCAATAGTGTCAAACATTGCCTGCACTTCCCACCTCCCAGACATTCCTACTGGACCATCACTATGATTGGCTGCCTTAAAAGAAATGTATAAGAGGTGAGAGGAGATGACCGGGGATGGGTAAGCCATCATGCTACCAGAAAGCCAAAGCTATGTCTTTTAGGATGGCCTGGCATTTGCTCACAGCTTTGAGGTGCTGCACTTTATATCTCACAGGAGCCTTGTTGCCATTTCACAATATGAGAGACTGCAGACAGTCTATGTCTCCATCGGCAAAACACAATCACTGTACAGCTCAACTAAGCAAATACTATAGAATAGAAAATATGTCTGTTCCCGTAAAACAAAAAAAAGCTTATACATATCAAGTAGGACAAACCCATCTAGTTCAAAGCAACTTTGTTTACCAGCTGCAACGGAGAACCCTCCACCAGAGATGTCTTCTCTAAAATGTTTCGTCCCCTGCTTGGCAAATAATGTTTTGCACTGGATGGATTTGTGGTGTATGACTTAAAGTTTTGCAACATACATCTGAAGGACATAAAAAACATGACCAGACAAACCACTAAGTACAAAGTTAATATACATATGTAGTGTTATTACGTCTGTGTTTTAACATTTTACTATCCATCTGAACAGGTGATCAAGAAGAAGGCGCTCACCTATACTCAGCGACTCCCTCTGAAAGTCCTTGGTGAGGTGAGAGCGTTTGGTCATGCAGTAGATGTATCTCTCCAACACGTACCAGCACATCTCGTAGTAGAATGGGTAGCGAAACTTGGTGGGCACCTGACAGGTAGAAGACAACAGAGCTCAGTTATTAGCTGCCATATTGTGGGCCTCATGCATGAAAAAAATATATTTACTCCACAAATATAATACTCCAGGAGCAAGAAAATACCAAAATACCATCTGTGTAAAGCAATTTTATTTATATAAAGTCTCACCCACTAGATTATTACAGCATCACAGTGCCTTCAGTTTCAGTATGTAAGGTCTCATCAGAAAGGGGAAAGCACACCATGGAAATGACTGTCCTTGAGTACCAATAGGGTAATTTGGACAATGCTTATAGGAAAACGTATTCAAATGCAAAAAGGAGTAGTAGTTTCAGAATACATATTTAACAAGGCAGAATGTCAATGACTACAACACCCAACTGGTTCTAAATAGGCTCAAAACGGCCATCCATGTTTCTGCATACTGGGCATCCATAGTGCAGGGCTGGTGCATACCACAGCTGGGTCTTTTGAATCAATGCCTTGTAATATAGATTGTAAATTCAAATACAGCCTTACCATGTAAAATGGCATGCAACTAGATTTCACCTTTTGATGAAGGCAATTTGCTTACATTTTCCAAGTGCATTGTTTGGAAATCTCCCTTACTTGACCTAAGTATTGCTGTCAAGTAAATTCCGTGGTGCTTGATGACCTGAATTAGCAGCCCCATGCTGACGATGCTCAGTGAATCAAAACAGTAATGTTCACATATCTCATACAGATGTTGGTTTGAAGGAAACACCAGAAGGTGGTGTCCAGGACAGCCTGGGTTTGGACTACATGGGTTGCATGACACTGGCCTTCACTGTACTCAAAACGCTGGTGGCATCTAGTGGCAGAATTAAATGACTTTGGGACAGTCTAGAACATTGGTTCTCAACCTGTATAACCCTAATAACCTGTATAACCCTTAACGACTAAGGACCCACACGTGTCCTTAGTCGTTAAGTTGCAACCTGGAACAAATGGCAATGCGGTACTGCATGTTCCGATCAAACTGTGGGCGGGAGGTGTGCTTGTGGAGCCATCCAAATGAATGGCAATGCAACGTACTTCCCGCACCAGAACAAACAGTAGCTGCGATTGCGTGGTAGTTTGCGAATAAAACACTGACAGACGCACACAACCACAGACAGACAATCTCACAGACACATTCCGGACGGAGCTCCATCCATACGTGCATTGATTTTACAGCTCCCTTGCACTCCCTGTAGAGGTGCCGAGAGACAGAATGTGACGTCACTACCATCACGCGAGGGAGCTGTAAGCAATGAACGTATGGTATGGATGGAGCTCCCTTGTGGATATACCCCCTGCCCACCCCGCCTCAAGCTGGCACTGAACGCCAGGAAGCATATTTTGAATGGCTACTCGGCACAAGGACGGACAGGCTTCTCAGTCTCCCCCATAGCGCAGCACACTCGCCTAGTGCAGTGGAAGGCACTCGGGGACCCACTGAACATGGGGTCGCGACCCACCAGTTGAGAAGCACAGGTCTAGACTAAAGGTGAGTATTGAAGCACAAGCTGCCTGGTTTATTTATAAATTTTTCTAAGCTTTGTAATTTTCTTTTATTTTAAACTGGGGGTTTTACTTTAACCCAAAGGATGAGGTCTTCCCTCACAGACCTGACATTTAATAAATGACCTTTACCCAGACAGACATTTTTCTTTAGGAAGGTTTATTGCCTGTAGCAAAACTAAATAATCGGCCATTATCAGAGTGCAGGATAAAAAAAACATGAAAATGGAAAGGAAGGATCTGATTGGCTACTATGGCAACCCAGAACTACAAAGCCTTGCATGGGTTACTTACCCTTGTTCTGTCCTCAACGCTGTATATCCGTAGCTGCATGGGGATGTTGAAACTATGTAGAAAATTCCCTCCAAAAACTAGTGTGTCCTGAGGAGTGTACACAGCATGGATCCAGCCTGTAAAAGCAAAATCAAAAGTCTGAGCGCTGCAAAGATACATGCGTCAAACATCTATATTTTCTCTGTGAGTATTTACAGTACGTAAATATCTGCAGGGCTCCATAAATTTCATACACTAGCTTGCCACGACAGCAATCGTATTGTCTCTGCACAAAAAGGTTTTGTTGTAACCTTATTTTTGCACCTGCAGCATGACAGAGCAGATTGTGCCACATATGGCTCCTCCTCCTAACATAGTGCTCTGTGATGAACAATGCTTTTAAGACCTGTTATTGTCTCATCTGTGCGGCTGCGCTGGGCTGGGCGGATGGAGGGCCCAATGCAGTCCTAACGTATAGACAAAACAAACTGCTTTTTGTCCTATGTGTTCAGTTGACATCACTGGGCTACATACAGTGGTGTGCACTGAAAAAAGTAAGACGTGCTACTTTTTTTCCACCGCAGAACGTTAGGACGCATTACACCTACATCACAACACTCTGAATAAAATGTCACCTTGTGACATTGCAATAAAGAGTGCGGCACATTGTATTCGGCACAGGTTACCTCCAGACGTACACTAGCGACTGCGGCTGGTGTGAAGGCGCGCTTAATATCCCCAGCAGAAACTTGAAGTAGAGCTATGGTCAAAGATCACATATGAGATATAGGCTGCCCATACTAGTAAGATTGGGCTCTGTCATCTTTCTGTAGAGAAATCACAGCAGCGTTGTCACCCAACTGTAGCCGCTTAGATGTTGGAGCGGTTGATAACCCTACCAGCGAAAAGCTCTGCCTAGTGCTTTCTCCATCTGCAGGAGCTTAGGTAAATTACGTAAAAGCTCCGCTCTGTCCCTCTAACTTTAATAGCCTCCTAGGCACCATATTTTCTAATACTTTTTCCTTTAAAAAAAAAAAAGTTTTAAACCTTTTTTAATCAGGGACACTGAGGGGTTAATTTTTTTTATGTACATGAGCTTTTGATACTAAGTATTATGGGGAGCTAGTGTATTCTCCTCAGAGATACTTAGTATCACTTTTGTAACACACTGATGCCGCTTGCAGCTCCACAACACAGTGAGCTGCAAGCCGGCTCAGTGGCTGTCACAGCTCGGTGATCACTGCGATTACCTAGCGAGTGTTTACAGTGCTGGGACCCCTAATTTGCTGCTGAGGGTCTGCCTCAGACACTGAGGGACCTTGCAACAGCACAAACTCAATGAGCGCTGGTCTGTTCATGCTGGCGGGATTATTCCGTCACCGGGTCTTTAATGAACTGAAAGACCGTGACAGAATAATCCCGTCACGAGTCAGGAAAGGGTTAAGCCAGTAATAACTCCAACTTGTCTGTACATGAGGCATGTACTGCTATTTTACAATCTGATAAAGAGACCAGGGAGAAACGGAGCTTTATCTGCACATGCAGTTACCCTTGGATGACTGTATAAAAGGTACCTGAAGGAATGACAAAGGTGTAGCCTTGTTTTAATTCCACGCGTTGGCATTCGGCCACTTTGTCACCCAGGAAGATATCGCCTTGTTTCCCCGACAACAGCCAATTCTCATACATTTCCAGATTTTGGTCTGTAGGAGGTATTAGCCAGAAAACCTAGAGAAGACATGATCAAATCACACACACATTATGCTTCAAAACCATCAGCAGGAAACTGTACAGTCTGTGCCTGGAATGCAGAAATAAAAGGTTACTGTTCTTTTTAACCAATAGATTACATCTTCCCTCACATCAAACCTTACCCATGTATTCCTATAAAGCATCCAGGACAGAGAGAGAGAGAGCCAACTGACCCAGTACAGGAAATTTCAACTTCCTCTCCTGAAGAACTCCAATGTTGTTCATATGAATCACGCACACCAGTACTATCAAAGTCAGGAGAATGAGGACTTGCCGCCCAACTTCCTGATTGCACGGGAAGCTGGTTCCATGTTCCCCTACAGCACTTTCCATCAGAGGAAATCCTCCTCTGACCAGAAGTTCCGGTATCGGGGAAGGTATCGGAGCATTTGGACGGGTACGAGTATCGGCATCAGTGCATCCCTACTCGCAATCCACTGATCACGGTTGTGATGCTTTACTGGCTCCTATACAATGAAAATTATGAATGCACAAAATTTATTTTAAAAAGGTGAAAATTGCTTTTAAGCCCTCTCCAAAAACAACCAGGGACTAACTATCTAATGTACAGAGGTGAAATAATTAGGTTTTTGTAAGGGTGCCCGCCCATGTGAACAGGGAATGATCTGGTTGCCCAAAAGGAGATCCAATCCTCCACAATTCAACTCTAAGTACAGCTAATGCGCAAGGCTGTAAATGCCATCACTATTACTTTACCATTTAAAAAGCTTGCTATGCACACACATTTAGGAGGTCAGATAATGAACTTATTAGCTTTGTGACACAATAGGATTGTTTCCTATACAGCAAATATATTTATGTTTTCAATGAATGCAGACGAGCCTAAATTTGAACTTTGTAATATAATTCTCACCAGCACACCAATGGATAATGTTCCAAATAAAGGGTCTTTCACGCATATTGTCACATAAAAATGCAACGCTCCGGGGTTGAGCAGGGTCCCCTTCATTGACTTAACATTTATTTGGAACATTATCCATTAGTGTGCTGGTGGGATTTATGATATACGTTGGGATATGCGGCATATAACAGGTAGAGTGGGGCACAATCCTCATAGCAGGGATAGAGCTTGGGAACTAAAGATCCCACCACAGCAGTTCACGAAATATATAAGAAACCATTAGGTTTTTAAGTCTTTAGCATGTAACAAAAGCTGCTAGATTAGGTTTGTGCAGACCACCCCTTTAAATGACAAACGGCTGTAGGATAAGCCTGACTGCAGGCTAAAAAAAAAAACTGTTACTTGGGTAAAGGTTTGCCACTTTCCCTTTATGTTCAAACATTAGAATTAAGTAGCTTTACCTTGCCTCCTCTGAGAATGTGGTACCATACAGACGTGCCACCAAAGTCCACATGGAAATCAGTGTAACAGCCACGCACACTCATAAGGCAGTATCTATAAAAAGAGATAAAATGAGATATTGCTGCATGATACAATGCAGATGTCAAAGCAAAAAGTACCATAAACTTTGTCGATGGGCCTTTGTTTGCTACAGAACTGCTTCTCTCCCTATACAAGCCTAGGGGAATTTAAAAGCAGCTAAAGCAGGTGAAATGCAGGTCAACCGAATGCTATCAGAAGCATCTCAAAACTGTCAAAAGCACACATTATCTAAACCAGACGACACTAATTAGCGGACCTGGGTCTGGATCGTGATCGCCGGCCTCCGCTGGGTTATCGCTAGCTGACAGTGGCTACATTGTTTCCACTGCCAGCCATAACCCAGTGCAGGTCCTCCCTCCCCTTCAGACACTGGTTGCTAAGACCGCTGGCTTCCTAGCAACCAATGATGTCAGGCATGGCCGGCTGCTACACCTGCAAGTGTTCTGGGCGGCTGCACAGCCAACCAGATCAATTGTACTAGTCTGCTGCTATGCATCTGCTAGTGTGCATGCAGCCTAAATGGTGGACTGCTGCATGGACAAGAACAAGTAGCTGTTCTGTCCGGACTGCGATTCGGACCTTTGCTTGATGCAAATTTTATTTCACTCCCCCGATCTAAACAAATGCCATTCACAGAGGCCCCTAGAATATTTTTTTTACATTTTAATTAACTTTGATTACAGAGATTGCTAGGGCAATATTAGAAAGTAAGGAAGTTGCATATTTAGGGGTTTTTTGTGAACGGAGATCTGAGGAACTGGAAAAGAGGCAAAAAAAAAAGAGAAAACTGGGAGTTGAAAAAAAAAATCCCACGCAGCTAACGTTTTATTATAGACCTTCGGAAGAATTTCTCAAAACTGGGACAGACAAAATGTGGAGCAGCTGTGCGCTGCAGCCAATCAGCTTCTCTGTCTCATTTTCAAATCTTATCCTAGCAAACTGAAGAGAGATGCTGTTTGGTTGCCATGGGCAACTGCTCCAGATTCTGTTTGCTCCAGTTTTGATCAATTTCCCACCCTTGTGTATTACCTTTAGAGATCTCTCTTACAGGCATAACGGCTAAGCCCCTCACAGAACCTCCTAGCACTGCCAGAGCAACTAGGAAATGAGCAGGACTAAAATATACATTAAAGAGATACTTTACCCTGTGGTTGGAATTTGATACTTTATGGAGAAAAACATACATTTATTTATAGGGTCCATGCAATCACCCAGGTTCTGCTGTGGGTGCTGGAACACTTGCAGCCAGGAGAGACATGACCTTGCTGTGTACTTATGTTTGGTAGACTGGTGGCTGCTAACCGAGGCTCTGCCATTTTGCTGAGACACTAAGCTGAGTAACAGACATACCAGTGATGCTTGGCGGTCACACATACTGTGGAAAAGACATCTCTGGGCTACCAAGAAGTCAGGATTTGCACCTGGCTGGAGAAGTCAACGTTACAGGGTCTAGAACTCACCTGGCCTAAGATACTAATTACACATAGCAGTGTCCAGGTAAGTGGATGTACCCTGACCATTCTCTTTATTAAAGCTTCCCCTAATCAGATATAACACAAATACAGCCCAGTATTCACAACTTCATAATGTGCAGTAGGAGCTGATCTGCGCCTGACATTTGTGAACACAGCCAAGAACCACAAAATGGCAGCAATTACATGATTGTGTCATCTGGATGATGCCTGAACAAAAGATGGCTCCGTCCTTTTGCAGAAAAAAAAGCAAGTGAAACCATTGTCAGGAGAATAGTGTGATCTCTGTGAAAGTTAATAAATACTTGGAAGTATTACACTTACACATTATGTAGCATTAACAAAAATATAACGGATGCCAAGTATGCTTTAGGAAGAGTGACTAAAAAATCAGATGTAAAGCAAACCCTTTTTGCTATTCCTTCTGCACTGTAACAATAATTAGCAACATAGGCTGTCAGAGCAGCAGTCATGTGATCTCAGCCAAAAAAAAAGAAGAAGTCTTGAGGGAATATCAGTAGCTCTTCCTGAACACTCCTTTGCCAGACACCACATGACCAGTGTTCTAGGATATGGTCACACGACCAGTCCTAGAGTGAGCCCGAAGGACTCATCTGTTACTCTATACTGACAGAGAAATTAACTACATTGATCTGTGATATGCAGCAATCACTCACTTCTGCACCTTGGGGTATTGCATCTCCTGGATGACATTGGTGGATTCAGTCTGTTTGTCCTTTAAGTGCCTTGGCCAAATGTTGTCCACCCAGTCTATCTGATCCACCTGTGTGAGACAGAAAAATAATCATATAAATGACAGAGTAGTGACAATGCAGGCCAGAAATAATCTCAGGGCCATCAGAGTGCATTATATTCCAGTGTTCCAAGTAACTGTCGTCTCTGGTGTAATTCATAGGAACTTGAATGCATAAAGACAATAGGAAAGAAGTGATGAAAGTAACACATTTGCCTTTCCCTTTAGTGGCTGTATTTATTGGAACCTATACACAAGAGGCACGGAGATCTCCTATTATTATTATTGTCAGAGATTATAAATGATGGAAGCAGGACTCTGTCAGTGTGGTTGCTCCCATGCAACAAAGAACCCCCAAGCAAAGCAAGAAATCTAGTAGATAGCAAGATAGCAATAGGGGGCACCACACCAATGGCGATGGAGTCCGGAATACGTCTTTATGGAAAAAGTCTGTCCATGAGATCTTGCTAGATTATGCAGTTTACAGATGAGATTTCCCAGCAATGCTCTGCTGATGTAACCTTCCCAGGACGCATCTCTTGGGCACATCTCTAATGCCTAAGAGGAGCATGAAGTGGGACAAATAACTGTAATTGTAAGTAAAAGGAAAATATGTTTATTTAACCAATCAATGTAAGATGATTTCATATCGGCATGCAGAGCTGAATGCTGATGTGATTTTTAGTGAAAGGGGTAAAAGATCCACTTTAACTTCATGTATCCATTTCCCTTTGGTCTGTTAAAATTACCACTGAACGGGTTTGGATATATCCATTTATATACCTGTTGAAAAGGCCAAATATCTTGTGAGCTGGTAACTTCATATATCTCCGTCCCTGCTGCACTTGTATCAGTTACAAAGTTATCTCTGTGAATTACAGAACACCTACTGCCATATTGTGGATAAGAGGAGGTGTTCTGTAAGCCTTACACTTCCTGTCCCTGGGGGGGGAACAATGCTGCCCCTCCATAATGTACAGTGAGCAAGATTAGTCACCCTATGCAGAAGTGTTTTACTGTGAGGATATTCAGGTGAGAATAAAGGAGAAGAAAGCCTGAACAGAAAAAACAAATGCAGCCACAACATCTAAGGACTGGTAAGCTGCAATATATAACATTTTTGTTCTCGAGTTTGGACTTTAACTTCATCTCACCTGAAACTTAAATCTGTTAGATGCAACATTCAAGTTTGATGCCTGAAATGCAATAAATGTTCACACTCTTTGTCCAGTTGACTACTGAAAGTATGTTCTTCTCCGAGCCCTTGGAGAAGATGAATCGGAATACATTTTTATCCACTTTGGAAAACGGTTTAGTCTTTTGTATGCATGTTAATTACTTGTGGCCTCTGATCAGAATCACTAAATGGCTGGGTAATTTGGGCCATAAAGTCCTACATGACTGTAGAGAAAACCTCAGCCAAGAGGGCAGAAGAACCCACCACACCATGAAGAGAAAGTCTCCACATACAGGGTCCAGGCTGCAGACATCAGTAGGCATGTTGCAAGCAGCCCTGGAGTGATTAATAGAGTGAGATCTCGGGGCACCCGGCACAGTGTGGATGCCCCCTTGGTGTCTGGAATAACGAATGTTGCAATCACATGGCGGTAGGGCAACGTATAGCTGCAGGGTAATAGGCAAGCACTCAAAAAACCTAGACAGCTGGCAGCAGGTAATTGTCTGATGGTCCAGGTCCCAAAAGTCACTGTAGGGGTGCAGCAAGAATGAGCTAAAGTTACACATGGCACTTTGCAAGCTGGAGCAGTAGCAGATAGATGCTGCAAAGCTCTATGGTTGGAAAGAGAGCGTAACGTGCACATGTGAAAGGCTAACCAACGGATGAATTAAAATGACATTAAAGTCACCATTTCTGTTTAGCTTTAGAAAACAATGTGACATGACAAAAAAAAAAAAAAAAGGTATTGGTATCAGCGAGAACTTGAGGTAAAGTATCAGTACTCCTACTCGGTCTTGAAAAAATGGTATCAGTGCATTCCTACTTTGTACCTTACACTTTGTAAACTTTAAAATCTCTAAAATCTCTGGTTATTGAAATTGATATAACAGCTAACTCCCTGTAAAAAACAATCCAGTCCAACTCCCCTACCCCCTTTCTCCTCCCCCAGGAGATTTGTTAAAAATGTCTTCTAGTTGGTCACGTGACATGCTTAAGTCTTCTCTTGGTGGTGGGCGGTAATGGATAATGCATTGTGAGGGCAGAGTGCTGTGTTCAAGGGGTAGGGTCACTGCCCACACAGTCTTCGAGGTTCAGCGATGCTGGGCATCATTCAACACTGAAGACTGAGGACACCTTGTGGTACAAAAAAAGGTACTGCAGAGACAGGGGTTCTAAAGCCTCCCGTTTTTTTGCCTATATCTACTGCTGACAAGAACTGTTTGTGCGGCCGCAAAGGATCTTGAGGCGGGCGCATGCGCAGTTCGGATTCCCGGCCGGGAGACGAGTAGAGACGCAAGGTAAGTCTATGGACACGTGGACACGCCTGCAGACACTGCTGGATCTGAAGTGCCTGTAAGCAGAGAGGAGTCAGCGCTCGGAGAGCCGCCGAACCGCTGGAGGGACAGATGAAAACATGGGGAAAGAAGAGGAAGATCGGATTAAGAGACATCATTTAATGTAAGTGCTGACATTAACACGGGGGGGAGGGGAAAAAATTACCCTTTAATGTCACTTTAATGTATATGTAGCAGCCAGAGCTGTTTTTTGCCATAGTCTTAGAGGGCATTTTAAAAAAAAATCCATTTTAAATTTTTCTTCAAATTGTGTTTTTCAAACTTCTGCAGCCATCTAACAGGACATGCATTTGGTATGTCCCAATAGCTTATTAGGAAACAAATGTCACATGTTAGTACCATGAACAATCAGTATTGCCATAAAGACAGAAAACGGATACTTAGAATTAGTAGCGGGCTCATGAGATGACAACCAAAAGATGACATGCTCACCGTCGCAGGCCTTTGCACCAGATTCTCCAGCTTGGTGTGGCTGAACTCCAGGCTGATCACATTATATAATTTTTCTCTTTCCTTTTCAGGGGTTTCATAATATTTTGCCCATTGTGCCATTGTCATTTCTATTCCTTTTTGGGTGCCAACGTCCATCACGTCTACAATTCGTCTGCTCCCTATAACAGAAGTTTACACAGAATTAACAGCTTGTTCTCTAATTTTATCCATCATGTATGAAAACATTACATTCCCAGTCACCAGTATAAAATAGTCCTTAGGGTCCAAAACATACCCCAAATGGGCTCAATATGCTTTAAACATTTCAGGGTGCCAGAAAGATTGATGGCAAATATAAATATTAGGGCCCTTTCACACCGTGTGGCATTCTAAATGGCACCCCAATTCTTTTATTACTGCAGCTAGTGAGCGTTGTTACCCTAGGACAGTGATGGCTTTAGTTTTTGAGCACGAGTCCCCGAAATGCAATGCAAAATCAATTTAAAATCAAAGTGCCAACATTGAAAATTAGTTTGGTATTGTGTTTTAGTTTGGGCACTGGGGTTTAAAAAACTTTCAGCATCACTGCCTTAGGCAAAATAGGGAAACACATTCAACAATTTATTTTTTCCAATCCATTTTTTTTCTTCTTTATTTCTATTTATTTTATTATCTTTACTTAATTTTTTTTTTTTAAAGAAAGTGATAAAGTAAAAAAAAAAATCACTAAAAATTATAAAAAAAATGATGTCTTATTATTATTTACTTAAAAAGTAGAAAATAAAATAAATATGAATTATCAATTTTTTTTATTGATTTTATAATTTTTTTTAACTTTATTTTTTTTCCCATTTAGCGTTATTGCTATCATAAAGGGGCTAAGAAGTCCCTATGTGATAGCATTTGGAGGTGACAGGTTCTCTTTATGGAACCTGTCACCTCCAATAGAGGCGTTTGAGCACTGTGCTGGCTTTCCTGTGAATGCTGAGATGGGAAGGCTGCGAGTGCAGCGTTCACAGAGCAGAGCGGAAAACGTCCGCTCTCCATCCTGAACTAATTTGCCATGGTCCCAGGTCCTTGAAAACCACAGCATGGAGAGCGACAGCCGGCGTCTGCGGGTGGGGGCTGTTGTATTTTGGGGAGCGGATGAAGGGGGGTGGACCCGCAAACTGTATAAAAGTGATCTTCGGGATCACTCGTGCTAAACGAGCAGCGGCTTCCCCTGCTCCACATTTAGCCCTGCTTGCCCGAAGCAGGGCTAAAAAATGTGAAAAAATACCCTGCCTGCCATCAGGTGATACAAATTCGACACACCTGCCTAGGTTACCGTGCCACCAGAGGGGCCTCTGTGTGCCTTCTGTGGCATGCATGCCATTGGTTCGCCCCACTGTCCTAGGACACTATAAAATAGTCTTTACGGTCGAACACATACTACTCCAAATGCTTTCAGTCTATCTGGATCAACTGGAGGTTTTCTGTACTTGCAGAAAATAGACTGAAAATTTTAAACAAATGCCGCCACCACATCTAAGGACATGTAAGCTGCAACATATTACATTCCGGTTCTTCAGTTTGGATGCACTGCCTCTGACACAGATATGTATATGGGGGTATAAAGATATACCCGAGCATGTAAAGTTCTGAATGAAGACTTTGGATAAATAGTGATGCCAAATCACATGTAAATAACTATTCAGATTCAATTACCCCTAAGCCGCCCAAAAGTTGGTTTTCTACTTCTAAAAAATCTGGTTGAACTGTGTCAACTAAAAAGAATATATGATTCACAGGAAGTAAAAAAACATCTTCACTTACCTACAAACATCTTGACATCATTCACACTAAAGTCGGGCTCTGGCATTCTAGGGAAAGAACAATAATGAATATGAGATGAATGTCTTCTCAGAACAGGGATCTCATCTTCTCGGTTTCACAAATGTGTGTGTTAATGGGGTCGGCTTTATGGGGCTGTGTCACTCTGGACAAACCTTTTTAACATTTACATGTCACTGTATTTTGCTAACATATGGAGTATACAAAAGCCTTTATAAAACCGGAAAATTTTGTAGCTGGCTTTCAATTCTAGTACATAATGGAATTATGGGTGCGGATCCATATAAAATCAGAACTCAGAATGAACAGGCTGCACGTAATCGGACAATAAAGTGGTTTACTGCTGCTTACTGCATGCTTCACTACCACAGTCTGCTTAACACTTCCGAAGCCTTTGGGCTCATTTAAACGGCCATTGCTGGCTGTACATTGCCCAGATGTTTATGTTCAGCTGTGGCCCCTCAGCCTGTACAAATCAATGGCAGGCTGAGGGGCCCTGCAGCTGTCCACATGTATTTACATATTCATATCTGTGGTTAAGTACAATTGTACAACTCTGAAAGCAAATAGTCAGGGAACAGAGCCACACATCTGTCCCTAGCTGCATGCAATTGCTACTTGAGCAATTTTTTTGTCATTTCTAGCAATAATGGCAACCTTATGCAAGCTACAGACAGTGAATGGACAGTAAATGACAGAATCTGTTTGCAAGAACAGCTGTTGGACAGAAAAGGAGCAGCAACAGACTGATGAGTTCATCCCTCTGCTGCTGCTCCTTTTCTGTCCAACAGCTCCTAAATAGTCTTAATGGCTCCTTGTGCTGTCCTTCCCTTTCCTATACTGGGTTATGCTGTACAGGGGATTAAAAGAGGCCGATGTGAAGTCAAATTCTAGCAGCAATGTATACCACATTCATTTACTTATTTTTTTTTAACAGTATACATAACCGTATAAACATGTAGGTTTTTTTTTTTTAAATCTTTCTGTACTTCAGTTTTAAAGTCAAACACCAGAAAAAAAAAAAAGAAAATATGCACAGCAG